AAGACATTCTAGTTAAGCTTTTCTCCTGTTTTCTTAGTGTGTGTCCTATCCAACGCCAGCATCTTTTCCTCACCTCTTGGTCCACTGGAGCCTGTTTAGTTCTCTCCAAAAGCTCTACATTAGTTATTCTATCATACCATTTAATTCTCTCTATTCTGCCCAGGCACCAGTTAAAGAATGTCTGTAATTTATTAGTAATTGCCTTAGTTGTTCTCCATGTTTCCGCTCCATACAAAAGTACTGATTTGACATTAGAATTAAAAATTTTTAGTTTAGTATTTCTTTTGACCTCCACAAATTCCCTAGTGCTATGAAAGCCCCTCTTGGGTTTTGTATTCTTATTTTAATATCTCTATCAGTTCCTCCATCTTTATCTACATTATTGCCTAAATAGGTGTACGACTCCACGTCTTGGAGTGGGGTGCCATTAGGAGAAACCACATTACTATTTGCCTGATTTATTCCCATTATCTTTTTCTTTCTTTTATGGATTTTCAGACCAAGCTGCTGTGATCTCGCATCAAGTATATTTAATTTTATCATGCATCTGATTCTGTGAATGGGACTGGATAAATATCATCAGCGAAGTCCAGATCATCAAGCTGTTTTGTAAGGGTCCACTGAATTCCATTCTTGGTGTTAGCAGTTACTGTTTTCATAGTCCAGTCTACAGCCAGTAAAAAATAAGAGAGGCGACAAAAGACATCCCTGTCGCACATCTGTTTTTATTTCAAATGTATCTGTTAGCTTTATCTTGCAGATTAAGTATTAAAAACACTGTCTTTCTGCCTTTATTTGCCACCTTTTAGAGAAATACAGGACAGAGGATCTTGACTCTGATGATTTAGGGCCTCGTGGCTAATCATTAACTGTTTAATCAGAATTGTTACATTTGCTCCTGACAGAAAAAAATTGTCACCCCCTTACTAAGGATTTGAACCTGATCACTGACATGAGTGTGGCATTCTAATCCCTCAGCCAGCTGAGGTATAAACAACATAGTACAGCAACAACAACAAAAACTGTGTTTAAAAACAACAACAAATACTTGGCATTCAATGAGAAACTGTCAACAATGTGGCATTGCACACATCTACAACATATAACAGAAGAAATGTTTGTTCGTGCTGAAAATGTCAAGCATAATATATATATGTTTCTTCTTCTTCTCAAAGTCCAAATGGCGTTAGTAGTCATGTCTATCCACAACCTTCTGTCTCGTGTACTTTCAATCAACTCTGAGACAGATGATCCTTCATGCCAGGATGTCAAACTTTCCAGCATCTTTTCTCTCAGTCTCCCTCTGCCTCTCTTCCCCTCCATCTTTGCTACTGTCACTATGTACTCCAGTTTTCTCCTTCTCATCATATGACAAAAAAATGTAGATTGCCTCTTTCTGATGTGGGCGATAAGTTCTATTTGTGAGTCAGTTTCTTTCAAGACATCTGCATGACTCTTTTTATCTATGTCTTCTTCTTGTCTTCTGCCTTTCTATCCCCCAATTGAGCAAATGCCCTCAACCAACTCATGCCAAGTTCGTTCTATCCTTCACCATTATACGAAGCTCTTTCAATGTCCTCCCAATCTTTCTGACTTCATTCTCCAGCTCTCTTTTCCATGTGTTTTTTTGCCTTTCTTTATTCCTTTGCCCCTGTGGGACAGAAATGAAGTATCAACTCTGACAAATTTGAAATAACAGTAAAGTACATGGCAGAGATACACAGTATCAACCCAATGAGAAGATTATTTTTAATATATCATTGCCGGTCAGCTACCTGAAAGTATGAGGCCATAATTATTCGATGAGCCATGAGCCAGATGTCAATCCAATATAAATGAGTCTTGGGTCTGATGTCAATCCAATATAAATTAAGTCATGAGTCTGATGTCAGTCCAATATAAATGAGTCATGAGTCAGATGTCAATACAATATAAATGAGCCATGAGTCAGATGTCAATCCAATATAAATGAGTCTTGAGTCTCATGTCAAACCAATATAAATGAGTCTTGAGTCTGATGTCAATCCAATATAAATGAGTCATGAGTCTGATGTCAATTCCACATGAACAGGTCTTAGGTCCTGAGCCTCGAAACAAAATTATATTTTTAAATATGTGGTTGTGTGTCTACTATATGAAAACTGGAGACCACAGTGACCTGACGAGCCATGATTCAGACGTCAATTCAACAAGAACAGATCCAGATCCCTGTTCTGTCCGTAAAAATTATAAGGTAATAAAAATTGACTTTTTATCTGTCATTAAAAAATATTTTCAGTGTAAAACAGTTTTAAAAAAGTTTCACAAATAAGTATACAACATTCAATTATAAAAACAGCTGGCAAAAGTGACAAATGACATCAGCTGAGATACAAAATGGAACAGCAAAACTGCACAAAGTCAAAATATGAAGCACTGTTAATACATCTGAAATAATTTTGGAAAAAGAAAAAAATAAGATAATTAGATAACTTCTCACTGGAAAAGCAGGAATTAATTTCAGCAGCACAATTTAATATAAACATTTTTTTTTAAAAACCAGTCCAAAAAAACAAACACTGTCTGAAAATGCGCCCTGTACAGTTATAATTCTGAACCCCAAGTCTTCAAATACTTGATGCTGAATACTGAACAATGGAGGTTACTGAAGTTACCCGAAGTGAACCATTTACTACATCTTAGCCATGAGAACATAATAATGATATGTTAAAACTAAAAAGTATCAAGAACTAAATATGATGAAACTGAAACATGAAATGAGTTATTTCAATTTAACACCATTGGAATGCAATGATTAAAATTATCATATGTAACTAAATAATAATACATAAGTAGGACATTTTTTGTGTCTAACACAACTGAGATTTGGTCACCATACTTGTGGCGATGATTAAACACAAAAATACAATAAGATGACATTAATTTTAAAATACAATCCCCCCCCTTTATGTGATCCCACACCCACAATAAAAAACACATAGTGTAGGGTGACCAGTTACTCACCATGTGGCCTTTTCTTTCTGGACAATTCCCAGAAAGTTCAAAAACTTATCTGGTGTCTGTTTTTTTATTAGATTGGGCTGACCAGAGCCACACTGGCAATTAAAAACAATCCTGCCTTTTGCTGGCCTGGCCAAAGTCCTGGCATGCTTGCGAGCTATCCACTCTGCCACCATAGCTCCTACTACAAGTGTATTCAACTCCCAAACTCTGTGCTAAACACTACACAGTTTGGTATGCAAAAATAAAATATGAACAATACTAAACAAGTGTGAACTCTAAAACTCTGTAGTATCATTACACTATTTGGTACAAATAAAATTGTAATACTGAAACAATGTAAGCAATTCTAAAACCTCTCCATTGCACAATTTGATCAACTACAACAAAACTTAATGAGCCGTATGCAATTTTCATTCAAAATAATATGTCCCAAAAGCAAAATGGACATCAGTTTCATATTTTAGAAGAGCAAATTAAAATAAAACAGTAGTTAAAAAAAGTTATTGAATATTTTTTCTATAGAAAACATGTCAGCACAACCGTTTTTTTAAAATGAAATATTCAAACACTGAGACTTCAGTCAAATGCAACATTGAGTACATGTTAATATAATTATATTAACGTAGAAATAAACTAATAAAGGAGACCAGAATTGACGAGCAAACGTTCAAGGGGCTGCTTAACCCTACTGCCCCCAAGAAATCTAATTATTTTTGGTTATGACACAGAGTCGTAAATGCTGATGTACTGCCATGTGTGCAATGACTGTTCTCGCAAAGCACAGTTAAATGCTATTGGTTCTATGTGCACCTGCACTGCGTTCAGAGCCCCGGATGTGAATATATTAACTAAGTACTGTATTTAGAGGTATTTTTGTGTGTAAATCCAAGAGCTTGTGTTAAAGCCAGGTTGACTTACAATTTTCCTGTAAGCCTTAGTGATAGAGGCTATAATGTAGCAACATGATAATAGGTGAAAACACCTGACTCATGTTTTGTTTTAGGCCCCAAGGGATGCATCCCACTCAATGCTTTAATCTGTTCTTGTTTACTGGTTACTCCATTTACAAATCTTTATATATTTTTGCATTTCACCGCAACTGCCTCCACATGATCCCTAAAGGACAAGTTTCTATCAAGGTACCTCAGTTTGTTTTCTCTTTTCATGTTACTGTTATTAACTGTGAGGCTTGGAACATCAGCTCTTACAATTCTATTGTCCAGAGAGCACCACAAAACAGCCACCTTTTTCTGAGTTGATGACAGCAGCCACTTCAGAACACCAGTCAGTCACTTTGTCTACAGTTGCCTGTAGCTCTTGGGCTATTCATTGCCTATCACTCCCCTGACTATGTCTGTTTTTGTGCCCAGAAACTTTCTTCTCGATATGGAAAAGACACATCTTGATTTTCTTACATGAGTAATGTCATTCAAACTGTCTTTCTGTCAAGAACCTTTTTTTCAATATGGAAAAATCAAATGAAACTTGATTTCCTTATATGAGCAAATCTTTAAAACTGTCTTTCTAACCACAGCCTTTTTGTGTGTGTGTGTGCGTGCGTGCATGCGTGTATTCAACGTGGGAAAAGCCATTCCAAAGTTGGATTTCATGCCATAAGCAATATCTTATAAACTGGCATTTGAATCATAATATTTGTATTCATGATGACAAAGCTATATGAACTTGATTTCATTATGTGAGTAATAACAATCAATTGCCTGTTTTTCTGCCCAGAACATTTTTGTTCAATATTGAAAAGCTGTATTAAACCTGGATTTCATGACATGTACAATCTCTTATAAATTGTCTTTCTGACAGAATCTTCTTATTCAACATGGAAAATCTATATGCAACTGGATTTCATGATATGAGCAATGTTTTATAAACTGGTATTTCTTACCAGAACCTCTTTTGTTTAATATAGGAAAAGCCAAATGAATCAACATTCCATTACATGAGCAACGACTGGAAGTAAAATATTACAACAGTTGAAAAGTTTACTGAAATTCATCATCAGAGCTGAGCAGGGTCGTCTTTTCACTGAAGTGGCCTCCAGGTCCTTGAGACACAGCAGGGGCTCCACTGGAAATACCTCCCTGGGTTGAGGAATGCTGCTTCAGATGGTTCATGTCACCACCAAGAATATCAATGGAAGCTGCTGATACAGGAGAAATTGCAGATGCGCTTCCATTGGAGACATGCTGCTGGCCATTATACTGGTAGTGATCTGTGCTCCAGGGTCCGTCCTGATGGTCCTCTTCTGAGGCTTTCATGCCTTGCTGTGTGTAGTGCTGGTAGTGTGGGTGGAAGTTGTGGATCGCATCCTTTAAGACCAAAAAAGAAACAAAAAGACATAAGACATCACAATTAAAGCCTGTACAGAGATGAATGAAATGGCAACTATGTGTTAAATGTGGTTAAGTGATTCACATCTGACTCTTTTCTATATTATAAGAATTAATAGACTTATATTGATCATGTTGTTTTTATACGGCTCTGAAAATTAAAGCACAAGTATAAGAGATAAAGCATTATTATAAATGTTTTTAAACAGAATCCAATGACACATTTTTGGGCCCATCAAAGATGCAAACAGTGGAAAATGGAGAGTGTGAAGCAACAACAAAAATTCATAATCTGTTTAAACACTATAGATCACTGGCATCATGAGGGCTAATAGACTGAAATGGTTGGGGCATACTGAGATCATGTCTGACAACAGAGAGATAAAAACTGTACATAAAGGAGTTTAATGGTCACAGACCTAGAAGAATGTTGAGAATTATTTTACAAGCAGACTTGCAAACGCCTGCAGTCAACAAGTGCAAAAAGAGAGGACTAATCACAGATAAGAATGGAGGTCGGTGATATCTGCAGTGATGACCTCAAGAGCTTGGAATGCTGAAGAAGAAGAAGATGGTGATTATGCGGTTAATCACAGACTTCAGTTAGTAAGATATACAGCAAAATTATAGACAATGTCATTTGTGTATTTCAGGTCAGAGTATTCTTGTTTTGTGCTTCATTAGTGTCTGTCAACGCAGGTGACCGGTGTTCAAATCCCTGCCGGGTGCCTTTTGGGGAAAGGGGGAGGCTGCGTGGTCTCGAGGCATGGTGTCCGCCTCAAGTACTAAAGGTTCTGGGTTCAATCCCTGGTAAGGACTTGGATCTTTTCACGTGGACTTGGACTTCTAGTAATTCCCTCTGATCTCTGGGTAGTGAGATCAGAAGTCCGTGTGCATTACTGCGCACACACAAAAAATTCCTTGGCAGTTTCAAATCGAAAAGAGTAGCCTAAGGGCGTTGCCCGGGCAAAATCTAGAGTTGGAAATCTACCCAAAGTATTTCAGGTTCCTCCCCGGTGCTACAGAGCCTTTGCACTGTGCTGAGCTTCTTCGGACTCAGATTTGAGTTAGAAGGAGAACGGAGCACTTATGGGTTACGTGTGCCATGATGTTGATCCGTTGTTCAAAACCTCAAAAACCTGATGTAAACTCTGCAGCATCTGACAAGATATAGCAAAATAAGCAAGGCAATCATCATCATGTAGTAAGTCAACGGCAGAAAATTGTCGTCATCACAGTTTGCCTGAAAGAAAGAATTTCAGTATTTCTTCTCTTCTTTGTCCATGGTATTCTGAGAATGTTTCTATAGCACTTTAGCTCAAAAGACCCTATTTTAGGGAGACAGTCAACGACTCACATCCATATGTTGCTACAGGAAAGATGCATGCTCTGAAAATTTTAACTTTTATTTCCTTGCTGGTGCTTCATAGAATATTTATAGCGTTTAACTTTTGCACTGCTATGGTCACCCTCCTTTTGACTTCTGTCAAAGTCTCCATTGCTGTTTATTGTGAAGGGTAGAGATTTAAACGCTGTAACATTTTCAATTTTTTTTTCATCATTTATTGTTATTTTTGGGTGACAGCAAGTTTTGTCTAGGGATATTATTTTTGTTCTCTTTAAATGCCATAACAGGTTTTAATCTACACCATATTTTCAGACTGACATGATTAAATGTTATACTTCTTTTATATTGTTCAAAAGGAGGACTGTGTCATCTGCATAGTGAAGTTCTAGATAGGGTTGCCACCAGTTATCAGCGAATTGTAACAGTCACATGTCTTGTCATTTTTGACATTTCACATTGTGTTTTCTGCATATTTATTAAATAGGTAGGGTGAGAGAATGCACCCCTGCCTCACTCCCTTTTGCACCTCAAACCAATTTGATGTTTCTCCAGCTCCTCCGATGGCTGACTGCTGTTGATAATTTTTTTTCCCCATAACCAGAAGCACTTCAGCAAAGCTCATGTGGCTCAGTGTCATGAGCATCGAAGCCCTTCAGCCCCGGTGCCGCATACATCGTCAATCTGGGGAGTATGCAGCTTTTTCTGCCATCCCCCGACTTGAACCAGAGAATGGAGATGCATGGGGATTGTCACCCGATGTCCAACCCATTATTAACTTTGCTAGAGTGTCAGGCTATGTTCATGATATAAACTTTCAATGAAATGCACCAAATGAAAGGCAATAAATCAGTCAAATACATTGTGGCTGCTGTGAATTTATAATGGGAAATTTAGTTTCGAACTAATAAATAACAATAGTTAACACCTTCTGTCCCAAATAACAGCCATTTCTAAATAATTACATCCTGCGTCAAAAGAAGGTTAAGGGGTCACTACACAGCATTTTTTTTCCAATTTATGACAAAAATATCCCTTTTTCAATGTGTTCATTTTTGTAATGTTCGGCATTCGTAGAATAGATTACACACAAAATGGGTGTCATTGGTAAACAGTTTAGCATTGAAAAGTTAATACTAAAGACACCAACCCATGCACTTTTTTAAGATAAAAAAAAGTTTAAATGTCACTTTTCTAACAATTCTTTTTTTCTGTTTGTTGTGTGTGGGATCTCCTAAAATCTCAGCTAATATAAAGACTAGAGACGTGCAATTTGGTGTGAATACGCATAACACAATATTATAGGGTCAGGTCTATTTGAAATTACAGTTTATTGAGTCATTTTTTTTTTTATTATTATTAAATGAAAAAGCTACATTTTTGTATTTTCTCAACATACCAAAATTTTAATATTCTAAAAAAAAAATATTTAAAAACATCTTTGAAGTAAATAAACTAGACCTGACCCTAAACATAAGTTTTAAGTTCATGAATCGATCATCTGTTTCTCAATACCTCTGTTTGTTTTTTTAGATTTTAGCTGTCTAAGTACATGTTGTTTTTTCATCAAGATGGCGGCTGTTGCCATGGCAACCATGTTTTTTTAAACTTGAAGTCTACAAATGTAGCAACATACATCCCTACAAATGACCATTTAAAAAATAATTCATCTAACATTGTAAGTAAAAAAAAAAATTTTTTTTTCCTGTAGCCCTTAAAACTATCCAGGATTAAAGAAGGAAGTTATGAGTAATCGTGAGTCAGCAGGTTCTTTAATAGAAGGTTGCTCTCATTGTGGCATGCTTGTAAGTCTCTCTTTCTCTAGCCAGTGCTCCAGTCCTTTGTGCTTTCATAGCCAATGAATCTTCAATGTCTTTTATCCACCTTCTAGGAGGTCTGCTTCTGCCTTGTTTTCCAAAAAATTATTCCCCCCCCCCCCCCCCCCCCCCCCCCCCCCCCCATCAACCGTTCTCTTCAGGCCATCCAGACATTTAACATGGCCAACAAAGGTCAGCTTTTTGTAGAACAGGATACTGTTTATGAGCCAATTCTCAATGACTAATAGTAATGATTAAACAATCAAAAAAAAAAAAAAAAAAAAAAATACAATAACAAACCAATAAACAGCTGTGCCACTGACCTGCATGATATCCCTAGGGTTCATGGTTTCCTTGAGACTGCTGGAGATGGACTGTAAGGACACTGTGCGACCGTGTGTGCTCGGCGGCCCTGTGCTGTACACGCTGTGAGGAAAAGCAAAACGCAAAGCCACCGAAGCCAGGAACATCTCTAGGCAAATGAAGAAGTTCTGCCAGCCAGCGGAAACAGTTCCGACACCCACCTTCTGGGAACCATTGTGGGAGTAGATGGAGTCTATGACTTTGGCCTTTTCCAGAACTGCTAGGATAACACCTGCAATATTGTATGTCCAGTTTTCAAGCACCACAATTTAAAATGATGCCATTTGGTTGCATTATAAAGGACTATTCAGTTACAACATAAAGAAACAATAAGCTATCAGGTAATGAAGTTTCTAGCACTCAAAAAAAAAAAAAAAAAATACCGCAAGGCTTCACTTCTGAACTGGGCAAATGAAAGTAGACATATATTTGTAAAACAAATTGTACATTATAGGTAATTTGGTCATCTTTGCTTTCCATGACATTTCCTGGCACCTTTATCAGGCTTGGTCAACATGGAAACTGAGGTCAATTGAAACAAAAATACAGATGTGTGTCCTTTAGATAAACAATTACAGCAAAGTGCACACATTTATCACAAAAGTCCCAATACTGCCAACAAATCTTACCTTGCCAGATAAACAATTACAGCAAAGTGAACACATTTATCACAAAAGTTCCAATACTGCCAACAAATCTTACCTTGCCAGAAGGAAAGAAAAATAACTGACTTGATGATGCAAAACTTCAGGACTGGGTCAAACGGGCTCAGCAGGGTCTTTGTTGCCAGGTAGAACATGAAGAGGGCATAGAGAGCCAAACTTATGGAGATGTTGTACACAATTGTAACGTACAGGTATCCACTGGCAGGTCTGTGGAGTTTATACAAAATATGTGTGGACACAGACTATCAGATGTGGTACATAATCAGTAACGGGAGCCGCTGTGGTCAAGTGGCTAGATGCTCACCTGCGGATATGAAGGTTGCGGGTTTGGGTCCTGATGGAGCTGGACTCAACATTTTTTTAAAATGACCATGGTTCCTAGGCCAACACAGCCTTGAGTGGGTACTAGATATACTCTTGGGAAGTCAAGGCAGCCAGCATGATGTTGACCACTTCACCCACTGAGTGTCAATTCATCTATAACATATACATCTAGCCCTATATGCCCAATACCCCTCAAAGGTATAAAAGACACCTTACATAATTAGTAGTGGTAAAGGGCTGATTACTAGCAGCATTATTGGTAATGGATTGAAATAGTTGGGCCATATAGAGACAATGGCAGGAATAGACAAAAACTGCATGAAGGAAAAAAAAAGTTGAATAGAAGTAGATAAGGACACAACTTCTGCTTCTTCTTCTCATTCACCGGCTGTAAACTCCGGCGGAAAGTTCTGGTTGTTTGTCCACGTCTGGACTGCAGTCCTGTTCCAGAACCTGAATGTTGCGTGTGCATCCGTTTGACAGATCTGTATGCAGACTGTTGGTTCCTTGCCTCTCAGGCAGATGCACTCCGACTACGAAGGAAGCTCCCAATTAGTCGACTCTTACGACATGCTTTTGGGTAGGCAGTGGGTCTTTTCTTGTTTTTTCCCACAGTAGGGCCCCGGAACCCACACGTGGAAGAACACAACTAAGAAAGAGAGATAATTTCAGGCAGACCTATATCTGGAGTCACCAAGTGGAAGAAGAAAGTGAATAACAGAGATGCATGGAAAGGGGGAGAAAAGAGGGGGGGGGGGAGTGGGGGGGGGGAGGGGATATCTATAAGATGATAGTCTATAAGACTGAACCTCAAGGGTTTGAGATGCTGAAGAAGAAGGAGAAAGGACTCATTAGTAAAGGAAACTAAACCTGAGTCTACTGAATGAGATTACTGCACAGACTCTTCTCTCAACCTGGTACCAAAACACCACCTCCCTGGGGAATGACTTGGCGACCTCTATTTTCCTTCCCAATGCTCAGAAATCTACAAAATGTGCAAAGACTGCTATCAGTGCCCATCATCTGTAGACAGCCTATTTTGTTATAATGCAAGGTGGTCATAATTCAGCACAACACATACTGGCTAGAATTAGGTCAAGATTCTCTCTGAGTGGGTTCTGGGTCTCATTTTGGACCAAAAGATTCTAAATTCACTGCCCCTTAAAAAGCATGTCATAAAAGGCAACTAATTAAGTGAGTAAACAAAGGACTCCTTTCATGCCTTTGGCACATCAGGCATATATTGCTAACCTATATTTTTAAAGACCAATCAGCATTCGCTAGGTGATCTATTCAGTGTCACGCCTGCCACTTTTACTTCCCATGACATTAAATAGTACACATTTCAGGCTGGACTGATCCTGGGGCCAAGGTCAGTTTTGACAAATATCCACTTTGATGCACAGTTGAGCCCTCAACCTCCTGGCTGGCAGTCGAGCATCTAGCTGCTACACCACCACACTTATGAAGGATTTGCTGAAATCATATGTGTTGGCCTGATAAGGGCATATATCACAACCGTCTCTGTTGTATTAATATTACAGTTACAATGTATTACACTGTATTATTGTTACAATATAAAGAAACAACAAGTTACTGATTTATGAGGAATCTACATAATACCTTGTAACATATTAGCACCCTCTACCACCCTCCCCTTTTCCTTAACCCTACCAGACCTCTGGCCCGATTTTCCGGGAATTTCTTAACCTGACGCTATACTGCTGTAACTAATTTTCAGCTATTTGAGTAGTATGGGGAAAAGATGCGTCACAGACTAAAAATAACTAGCCAATCGTAATCAGATCTCGTTGATAGTCTTCCTAGATGTCTGCCTGCACGTGTTTGGATTATATTTGTGTTGTTTTACGAAAAACAAATTCTGAAAATTCACAATAAAATGAGCGGCGGATGAACCAAGCACTTCGACAGGAAAGTGAAGTAGGTCTAGGCTTTTCACAGTCAAACAGGTGATCGATACTTTGGTTTATTCAGACTGTGCGGAGTCATTATTTCATGAAGAATACGTTCACAGTTGAAGTAACACACTCAGCTCGAATAATGAGGAGAATCTTGAAAATTATAAATCTAGAAATAAATCGATAGTAAGAGAAGGGGCGTGTCCCTCAAACAGCAACATCTGGTGCTCTCTTTGTGAAACAATCCTGATCCTCCTGAGTGGATTGGCCCACAAAGGTGGAATATTGGCGCTAGATAAAAGATAAGCCTATTTTCTACGTCTCCAAGTTTCATCTTATTCTAGCTACTTGTTTGCATGTAACTAATATTTGTGTATATCATGCTGGTTTTTCGCGTTAATGCATTAGTGCCCAGGAGCTCGGAAATAGGGGACAGTTAGGTTCAGGGCCTCAGGTCTGGTAGGGTTAAAGAAAAAAAAGAAGAAAAAAAACTTCAGTCATAGAACTAACCTTATAATCTACCTGAAATAGGAAGCAGAAGCCTTAGTTCACCATATGGGTTCTGCGATTCCATTTAAATGGGGCCAAAAGAATAGACTCACTGCTCCCTAACAAGCTGATTAAAAGGGACTAGCTGAAGCCTAGCTGTAAACTACATTATACTGACCATTCTTTTGAGGACAAACGAGGAAGAAGAAAGGAACTTTAGTGGCATAATGTCTAATCTGCTTGTCTCTGATAATGAATCTAAGCCAAAGGAACCAGTGTGCAGATCTCCTCGTGTGGGTTGTGGGGCCCCATTGTGGGAAAGACAAGAATAGACCCACTGCCTCCCCAGCAAGCATGTCATTAGAATCAACTGGGAGCTTCCTTCTGAGTTGGAGTGCATGTGCCTGAGAGGTAGGGAATCAACAGCCTGCATATACATAAGTCAGATCTGTAAAACAGATGTGCACACAACCCTCAGGTTCTGGAACAAGTTTAAAGTCCAGAGATAGTTGAACAAACAGAACTTTCCGTCGGAGTTTACAGCTGCTGAACGCGAAGAAGAAGAAGAAGAATAAGTTGTAGTGGGAAAATTTTTAAACAGATCTGACTTGTCTGTGAGCAGATTTTTGGTTCCTTGCCTCTCAGGCAGATGCACTCTGACTTCAAAGGGATAATTATTCTGACAAGTCTCTAGATCAGTGAATCCCAAACATTGCAAAATTTTCGAAGATAAACAAGTTTTATTTTTTTTAAATCTCTTACAAACTAATAGTCATACTTTTACTTAGGTTAGGAAATAATCGGACAAATTTTAATTTAAAAAAGGTGCCGCAACTAAGAAAAGTTGGGAAACATTGCTTTAGTTAACATGTAATTCCTGCTGTTATTTTCCCCAACAATCACTGCTGCATAACAATAATGTCAGCTCACCTGCTTACAAAAGCGTAGGAAGCCGATAGTATATTGTCTACCGGAAAAACAGCAGGTACAAGACATGCAGCTTGACCTGAAACATGTCACAATAAGTGAAAGGCAACAAACATAATGTGGTAATACTTGAAAGCAACTAACTTCCTATGTTATAGCGAGCCTGTATTGTTGTATGGCAGTGAATCTTGGAGTGTTAGCAAATTAAGAAGAGTTTGGAGGCAACTAAGATGTGGTTCTTGAGAAGAATGTTGCAAATACCTTGGACTGCCAGAATAACAATGATTGCCTGGAAATGGCTAATGAAAGTTTAACAACGAGAAGGAGAAAAGTTCTTTGGTCAGGTGACGAGAAAAGGAGCACTGAAAAATATCGTGACGACTAGAGAGATCACCGGTAGAACAGGCAGAGGCAGACCTAGAGAAATGATGATAGATGGCTTAAGACAGTAGCATGGAGGGATATCACCAGTGGAACTGATCCAGAACACCAAAGACTGAGATCTGTGGAGATGCATGTACACCTGTGTTTTAACAAGATGCCAGTTTGATCTTCTACTTCTCAATGTATCTGACACAAAGTGTTGATCCCCCCCCCACAAATCTATCTGACTGTATCACTTCTCACTAAGTCTTGGATGGTTCTTCCACATTTGCTAGGATGTGCAATCAGTCAGTGCCTTTCTGCCCCAGCCATGTGATTTCAGCAAACACATGATTAGTTGCCTTTTATGACCTAACTGTTAGACAGTTGTGGAGCAGTGGGTCTATTCCCCCCCCCCCCCCCCCTCCCCCCCCCCCCCCCCACCTCCTCAAATGGAGCTTTGATGGTTAAACTGTTTTAGTTTCCTCAGACATCTCACCTCAAAAGTGCTGAATTTATATGTATGCATTTTTTTATGGTGTCCAAGTTTGGCATTGACAACAGTGTTAGTATGAACCTACTGCTTTGTGGACATACTTTGGTTTATCTTAATAACAACAGTACTAGCTGGTCTAAAAGAGCAATTGCCTTTTAGTATCCTATTTCAATTTCTCTCTCTGTCGCTTGATTAAAAAAAATTCTTGCAATTGATTTTCACGTTTAATTATAAGCATGGGTCTTGGCTCTAGTGTCTTGTTCATTGTATTTTCTAGTCACAGTTTGTGCTTGTATTTAGTACTCTGTTAATAGATACAGGTCCAAGCATTTGTGTGTGCATTCCTCTATTTAGTTTTCCAGCCACTGTTTGTGTTGTATTTAGTACTCCAATGATAAAATAAAGACACTGGTTGAAACATTCTGTTGTATTTGTGCACGATTTCCCCACTTTTTCTGATGAGCTATCCAACCAGAGTTTGTGTTGCATTTAGCACTTCTTGCTACAGGCAATACGTCAATTTTTGAGAATCACAAGTTGTGAACACTCAATGTGCCTGCAAGAGGCTGACAATAATACAATAAACTTGCTTACTGAATAGGTTTGCCTCTGATCTCTGACATTATTGCCCCCTCTCCACCAAGATATTCATAGAACAAGCTGAGGAAACTGTATATTACAAAAGCTGGGGAAAGAAATGAGGGAAGGGTTAACCAACACATGCCTGTTATTTTCATCTGTACAATTGTTAACTAACTTGTATTTCCCTTTCTGTTATTTGTAGAATCATAATTTAACTACTCTTTCTATAAACGTGGAATGTGACAAAGCAACTAGAAAATCGAACTGAGGCTCTGGAAATGTTATATATATATATATATATATATATATATATATATATATATATATATAATATATATATATATATATAGTAGAACCTCGCTTAACGAGCACCTCTCATAACGAGTAATTCGCATAATGAGCAAAAGAAATTGTAAAAGAATGACTCGCTTTACGAGCGACGTTTCGCATAACGAGTGGCGAGTAGAGGACTGGTTCCGGATTTTGCGCATGTTACATCAGTGTTTAGCACTCGTTTCAGTGACTCGATTTGTGACTTTGAGGGGTTCGAGACAGTACCTGTGGAACCTATAGTCAACGAAATTGTGTCTTTGGCCACTATCATGGGATTGAAGGTGGATAACAGTGATATCGAAGAGCTTGTGGAAGAACACAGCCAAGAGCTGACCATCGAAGAGCTTATGGAGTTGCATTGTGTTTCAAAGCAAGAACTTTTGGAGGAAAGTTTGTCAGAGGAGGAGGAGGATGTAACAGAAAAGCAACAATCTTCTGGCGAAATAAGAAAAATTCTGAAAGCATGGGAAACTGTTGCTTCTCACATTGAGAAGCATCACCCTAATAAGGAAGTGGCTATGCACGCTGCAAATTTAATGATAATGCTGTGTCGCATTTTCACCAAATTTTGAAGCGTCGACAAAAACAAATATCTCTGGAAATCTTTCTAGTAACAAAATAATTAGCTATGTATCATAATTATTTCGACTTTTTTTTCTGCAAATCGAATTCGCATTCCATGTGGGTTCGTTCCGCGTTTGAAGAAAAGACGAAGATGATTCACTCTCCTTAAATAAGTATATAATTTTCTTTGAATAAATGTTATAATATAACTTATACATAGCATTTTGTGAGTATTTTTTTCGACATGGAACGCATTATCGTATTTTACATTAATTTAGATGAGAAAAATTGCTTCGCATAACGAGTGTTTCGCTTAACAAGGATGATTCTGGAACAAATTATGCTTAAGCGAGGTTTTACTGTATGTGTGTGTGTGTCCAGGTGCGTGCATGCGCACGTGTTGGGGTGGCGCGGAAGGGGGGGGGATGATTGCACCGGTATTTAGTATGAGTATCTTTTTCTTAGGCATAGTTTTTTTTCAGGGGTAGGCGTTTTGGGCCCTGATGGAGCTAGACTTTTTTTTTTTTCAAATGACCTTGGGTCTCAGGTCGATCCAGCCTTGAGCGGGTAGCAGGTAGTCCTGGGAAGTAAAGGTAGCCGGCCTGATGCTGACCATATCACCCACCCAGTGCAGATTAGTCTATAAAATATACCTCTGGCTCTATATGCCCGATACGCCTGCACAAGGGTCCTTGACTTGACTTAGTTTCACTAGCAGGCACTTTGTGCTGAGTATGGGCATGTCTTTTTCTAGAAAACAGCACTGACCAGACCGAACTGGTTAGACTAATTTAACAGCCGATGGGTGGTGTGATCAATATCACTCCGGCCACCTTTACTTCTCAGCCTATTTCCTGCTATCCATTTTGGACTGGGCAGACCTGGGAGTCAAGATTATTTATAAAAGAATCTGTACTGATGCAGATTTGAACCAACAACCTCTGAACTGACTGGCAAGAATCTAGCTACAGTGCTACCACAAAAGGACTATAATCATCATGAAATGCCTTGCTGACTGATAAGCCAGTTGTGCGTCTCCACAGCTTGCAAGCTATTATAGCATGTATAAGTTTATATGCTGACAACCTTCCATCCATGAGGGGAAAAAAAGGCTGTCAAGAATCTTCTCACAGTTTTCCTCTCTCTTTCTACAAATCTTTCCAACTGCTAACTACAATATGTTCTGGATTCTTTCTTCTCATAACGTGGCCAAATGATGGTGACTGTCTCTTTCTGATGTTTGTGATAAGGTGCCTTCGGGTTTTTGCCATTTTGAAAAATATGGATTATTCATTTTGGGAGTCCAAGGGATTTTAGTCATTCTTCTGTAAAACTCAGCTCTGAGGTCTCAAGAAATAGTTTTTTTTTGTCCAGGGTTTGCAGCCATGTTACAAATGGCTCCATATAGCAGGCTAAAATTCTTTTCCTAACCTATAATGACACCGATTTATTGTCTATGATGTTCCCAACATTATAAAATGCAATTTTTATCTGTCCTACTGTTATTTATCTCTGTGACTCATCTTCTGTGTGATGTTACCTATGTGTCTAAACACTGAGATTAACCATACAATAGAACAATAAACCACACTAAGTGTGAGGGTTACTGACCTTCATAACAATCCCTGACACTGTCAAAGTAGACATAGTAGTCGTCATTGTTGAAGAACATGAGACTGAGAAAAGAGTCAAATGAGTAGATGGGCACAATGAAGAGGACTCGCACAATCCACCTTTGTTCAGGTGGGCAGGTGTAGTAACGCAGATGAAGGTAAATCTAGGGAAGGTAAACAAAGGTAGATATGAGAATGGTGATGCAAAGCACATCTTTCTTCTTCTTTTTAGTTCTCTGCCATTCGTTTTTAGATATGAAGGTCACAGGCATCTACAAAGTCTGTGGTGTGAAGCAAATCTTCCATTGTTCTATATAGCTTGGTTTCCACTGGAATGTCATCTAGCCAAACCTGGCATCTCTCTACCGCATGTCAACAGCATGTCTGTACTACATGTTCAGTATTCTGTGGTGCATATAGAAACAGCTAATTAACTCATCTAATGAACAGCAAATTAACTCATCTAATGAACAGCAAATTAACTCATCTAATAAAAGAATGCAAAAAAAAAAAAAATGACTGACACTCTTTTTGAAAGAAAAAAGCATCATCATGTGCCCTGCTGATAAGCGTAGGTAGTCATATTTCACCATCTCACACGATCACCGGAATTATGGATCAGGTCTGTCTTCTTGTCCCAGCCAAGCCCTTGAGGTTTTATATCTTTGCCATCCAATTGCATCTAAAGCTGTGTCTTCTTCTTCTACTTCTTGGGGGGGGGGGGGGGGGGTGGCGTATTAACGCAGTCGATAGGAAACTCACTTTCAAATCCAGCTGCAGCCCATGGTTGGTGTTCACCCAGCCTCTGGGAAATCGGTACCAGAGTTAACACTCTTGGGTAAACGGAGGAACGTCGCTGTAGCTACGGTGTTTCGTGCAAATGCCAACTCAGGCGGACAGTTTCTTATCAGCTGTCCGTAATGGTGGCAGAGCACTTATGGTTTATAACCGTGTGCAATGACGCTGGTTCACATCTCCTGATTTTACCATTACCTTTTACTTCTTCTCTCTACTCCTGGAATGCCTCGCAGTGTCAGGGCAGGAAGAGATCTCTGGAACTGACCTTTCTGTTCATTTAAAATTAGGTTCTTTTCAGTATCTCTGATATTTCTGTGGTCCATCTTCCACATGGTCGACCTCTGGCTCTGTTACCATTGTATCTGTATAACACTGCTCTATGTGGTGCCCTGTCTGATGCCAATCCAGTTACATGGCCAAACCATTTGATTTGTTGTCTACCTATAAAGTTCAGTACTGGTTCTGTGCCGACTCTCCTCCTGTTGTGTAAGCTGTGAAATCATGACTATTCTTGGCATTCTGAAGAAGGTAGTTTGCTACTGATTTCTTTCTTGACAGAGACCATATTGGTCAGGTGACCATAGCCTCTGTTACATTTTCAATCAATCAGGTGCTGTCTCCCCAGTGAAGGCTGGCTGTAATGGACCTCAGTGTACTGTATCTAGCCCTAGTTGTACACTTCTGAGTCTGCTGTTTGTCCATCTCTTGATCTTATATTCCCAGTTGATTCATTGTCTAATTTTTGCTTATTTGCCTTCAACTATTCTCTCTAGTATGATTTTTGTAAAGGTGTTGTTATGCCTTTCAATGTGTTCAAAAACAATTTCATGTCTGTTTTTATTTGTTTCATCAATTTTTTTTTCAAACCACAGTCGCTGTGTCTATTGTTGAAGCAGCCAGAAGAGCACAAAGCAGGACCTTATATCTCCCTCGACACCCGAAGTGGTAAAAGAAGATGTAAAGAAGAAGAATTTTCACTTCTACAACTGTCCATCAGGTAAAATATCTGCACTTCTACAACTGTCCATCAGGTAAAATATCTGCACTTCTGCGACTGTCCATCAGGTAAATTCACAGTGTTGTGCTTCTGGAACAACAATAGTTGTACTTATTGTATTATAACCGTCCATCAGGTAAATTCACAGTTGTTGTAATTCTACAACTGTCCATCAAGGGAATTCATAACTCTTGCAATTCTATTTATGCATCAAGTAATTCACTACTGTTGCACTTCTATAGCTGTCAAATAAGATTCTTTTTCTTTCGTTCAACTGAAATTGATTATCTATATCTGCAATGTTATCTCTAGTATGAACTGCACTGTATTTTGTAATTAACTCAGCGAGCCGTAAAGTTTGACTTGCACTGATGTTTCTTTTGGCCAAAAGTTTTGCCTTGGTATGTTGTGTTTGTGACAGTTTTAGAGAACGTGATCTGTTGTCTCAGGTAATAATCCACATGTGCATTTGGCTGATTCACTGATTTTAAATTGTGTGTACATATGGCTGCCAAGTCCCTTGTTCCCTACTCTAAAGCATAGAATAATAATTTGCTCTGGTCTCTCCATAATATGGCAATCGTCTTGTGCCGCTTTTGGTGGCTTTCTGATTAATTAAATCATTCTCTTCTTCTGTTGATAAGAGACCGCTATGTCAGGTTGTTCTTCATTTGCACCTTCTTTAGTTAGTTTATCAGCTTGTCAGTCACATTAGATGTTTAAAAGGACAGTAACCGCAGTGATATGGAACTTTGATCCTCACCGTAGCTACAGTCTGTACATCCATGCTAATATCTAGTCCAGACAGCAAGGTATAATCACATTTTTATAGCAATGGTGGTAAACTGTGCAGAAATACATGGAAGTAAGTGAATTACCTGGATACACAAAACTGTTTTTTGTTTGAAATGTAAAGAAGGAAAAATGTAAGTTCGAATTGAGAATTGATTACGATGTTACCGGATTGATAGCATTTACAATAACAATAAACTTTATAGTGGTGATAGAACATGAAGAAACTGTAGTGAAATGGCCTAATGACAGATGCAGCAATTAAAAAAAAAAAGGAAATAAGCTCATGTATTTAAAACAGAACAAAAAAAACGTTTGAAAAGTAGTCAGATTTATAATGATTTTGCTTTATATGTTATTGTAAAATATACACAAAATGCATAAAACAGAAATATTTAAAATTAAGGAAACCATTGATTTAAATACTAATGAGTTATAAAGCATATGCACTGATACATTGTGGTGCTGTACAGTTTCTTTGATGTTCTCTTCCCATCTTGTTCATGGTATACCTCTTGCTCTACGTCCTTCTCCTCTTTTGGTATATGGTACAGCATCAGAAGGCACTCTCTCCAAGTGAGCAAACCATTCAATTTGCTGTCTTTGTATGTAATTTAGAATTGGTTCTATGCTGATTTTATCTTGCATGACCTCATTCCTTTTTATTTTCTAGTCACTCCTACAGCCTTTCTCAGACAACTCATTTCCATGGTTACTAATTTTCTTTTATGTTTTGTTATGAGTGACCACGTCTAGCACTGGTAGAATAGGGTGGGAATGAATATGCTTTGCATGAGATGTTTCTTTGTGCTGATTGGGATTACCTTATGCTGTAAGAGGGAAGCTAGCCATTCCAATACTTGGCCTGCTTTACTGCATCGGATATCAATTCCTTTTCCCAATTTATCATCTTCAGTAAATGTTGTTCCAAGATATTTAAACTCAGATGCCTGTTTAATATAAGTATGCTCTAATGCTATATTCAAATTCTGCTTCATTCTTCATATTGACATTACTTTTGTCTTTTCTATGTTGATTCTCATATTAAGTATGCTCTAATGCTATATTCAAATTCTGCTTCATTCTTCATATTGACATTACTTTTGTCTTTTCTATGTTGATTCTCATATTAAGTATGCTCTAATGCTATATTCAAATTCTGCTTCATTCTTCATATTGACATTACTTTTGTCTTTTCTATGTTGATTCTCATATTAAGTATGCTCTAATGCTATATTCAAATTCTGCTTCATTCTTCATATTGACATTACTTTTGTCTTTTCTATGTTGATTCTTATATTAAGTATGCTCTAATGCTATATTCAAATTCTGCTTCATTCTTCATATTGACATTACTTTTGTCTTTTCTATGTTGATTCTCATATTAAGTATGCTCTAATGCTATATTTAAATTCTGCTTCATTCTTCATATTGACATTACTTCTGTCTTTTCTATGTTGATTCTCGTTTTATTTGATTTACATTCTTTATTCACAAATGTGAGGTGATATTGCAGATAGTAGTGAAAGAATTGTCAATGTACCTGATGGACAGTTACTAGCAGCGCAACAACTGTGAATGCCCCAGCAATGCCTTGTGCTGCTGCCGTCTGGAGAAATATCAACGGCTGCTGTGTCCCATTGTAGTTCTCAGTAGTGAAATTTGTCTCTGCTTCAGTCGTGATCACATCACTGGTGGCTGTTGCAGCTGTGGGGCTTGAATCGGGTGATTCAGTTGAATATGTGATGTTTGGTAACTCCATTCTAGTTCATGATTACACAGCCACTATACTGAACCTGTAGTTAGAAAACACATTCAAAATGTATTTGGAAAGTAGAGGTTTTCTCTTTAAAATGTTACAGGTTTAAAGTAAGTTATTTGACCATTCTCACTGTACAATGAACCACTTAGCCCATAGGTGCTCGGATCCTCTGCTCAGTATATCGCTCAGGGTATAGCAGCTGATGACACCAGCTCGGTATTAAGTGTATTCTTCTTCTCTGGCTTGCTGCAAAGTGTATTCTTCTTCTCTGGCTTGCTGCAAAGTGCTCTGTTCTGACCTCACCCCTTCTGACTTGTTATTTCTGCAAGTTAAGGTTGTAGATTCACAGCCACATTGCACTGCAAAAATCTCTCAAAGAGTATCCAGTGTGTAAGACAAGTCCATTGCTCACCCACCCGTTACAGTAGCTCTATCCACAAGCCTACTGGCTTTTTTATATCCTCCTACACCTGTACCATATGCCAATAGGGCTTAAACATTTTTAAACAAGTTAATTATAATCTTCATGTCTCATAAAAATTAAAAATAAAAATAAAACATGCTATGGAAACCACAATAAATCGCTGGGGAATCCACGATGATGCACAGAATAAAATGTAATGGGATAAGTGCCAGCCTTTAGGACATATTACAGTACAACAGGAGGATGATGATGATGAATCCTTGAAGCTATTCTTCTTCTTAGTGTTCCCCGGCTTTAAACTCCGAAGGAACATTCTGGTTGTTCATCCACTTCTGGACTCTGGTCTCACTCCAGAACTTCAGTTTTTCACTGCACTTCCATTTTACTGATTCCTCATTTCTAAGAAGTACTTCAACTCCGAAGGAATCACTCCTTGTCAGTCGCCTCCTACTATGTGCTTGTGAGGAGGATTGGTGGGTCTATTCTTTTCTATGTCGAAATGGGACCCCGGAACCAACAAGGGTAAAGCTACTGAAACAGTAATAGAGTGTGCTGAACTTACGTTGCTGTTCAGAGGGTAGAGGTGTGATCACCCATGCTAGTCGTAGAGGCACTAGATGATGATGATAGACTGATAAGACACTTATATAAATAAATCCCCTATACTTCTTGTCAAGTGTGCTGTACACCCCCGGATCGCACGCATCAAGTATGATAAAAATACTGTCATGCACAGACTGTTACTCACAGACGCAGACGAAAGAAGTAGAGTTATAACTTGTAAAGTGTGTCCTCCTACCTCTATCTCTTTCTGCTACATCATTCTCCTTGTGTGCTTTTATACATCAGATAGGGCTCACGGTCTAGTCGTTCTGTTCTATCCTGATGGAATCTAGTCCAGCACGTTGTTCGAACGGCATTCATCCAAGCGTTTCTCTTGCATGTCCTCATTTCCTCAACTGATTTGTTTCTTATTTCAGTGCCTTTTCGTGATTCTTCATCTGCTTGTTATGGTGTGCTCAGGATTTCCCCATTTCCTTTTTTTTATCAGTACCATACACATGTGCAATTTGTTCATGTTATGTATCTGTATAAGGTGCACAACAGAAATAACTGTCAGATAACATGAAAGCAGGTCTAGAGGCTGCCTGCACAAGATATGGATAGATAGATAGATAGATAGATAGATAGATAGATAGATGGATGGATGGATAGATAGATAGATAGATAGATGGATGGATGGATGGATGGATGGATGGATGGATGGATGGATGGATGGATGGATGGATGGATGGATGGATAGATAGATAGATAGATAGATAGATAGATAGATAGATAGATAGATAGATAGATAGATAGATAGATAGATAGATAGATAGATAGATAGATAGATAGATAGATAGATAGATAGATAGATAGATAGATAGATAGATAGATAGATAGATAGATAGATAGATAGATAGATAGATAGATAGATAGATGGATAGAACATCTGAGGCTGTAAATATCAGCATTTATAAAGTAAACACCAAAGCTCTCACCAAAGCAGGATAAGTGACAAAGAACGAAGGTATAAACTATATTTTTTAAGTGTTAAAAATTGGGAATGCAGGCCTGTTATGTTTATATAAAAATATACATCGAATGAAATAATGCATACACACATCATATAGACACAATCATAACCACTTCTAATATACATGTACACATACACTCTTATATGCCCATACGTTCACAGACACGAGTACACCCATACATATACATACTCACACACACACACACACTCATACATGCACATTCATATGCACACATAATTGCACTCATGCTCATGCATATCCATACAAGCACCCACACTCATGCGTACACATTCATACACTTAAACCCTATATATATATATATATATATATATACACACACATAGACACGCACAAATGCACAATCACCTATTTACACACATGCACTCACACATAGACAAGCACACATTCACACACACATACACTCTGATGCTTGCATACACATATATACATACACTCATGCATACAAACTCATTCATACATACACATCTACACATACCCACACCTGATTTCATATACATAATTACACTGACATTCATACAAACACCAAACACTAATACATACATGAACAGCTACATATACACACCAGCACCTTATCTTACAGTCACAAACACCCATACATCCTTGAACATCTTTACATACCCAACGTACACAAAAACAGAATCATACACAATCACCCATAAATGCCAAAACACCCATACATACACAAGCATCCAATCATACACAAACACCCTTTTAGTTACAGCCAACCCCACACATTTCAACAACCCCATACACACACATACACCTCTACATACACAAGAACTTATTCGCACACAGTCACTCACAAAAAACACATACATACACTTTCACCCATATATACACTAACACCTATACATGGACATGCACCTAATCATGCACTAACACCCACATACACACAATTCCCATGCATACGCAATTATCCATTAATACACAATCACCCATGTGAAACATACACATGCACATTTACAGAGCATATAAAGAGCCTTTTTGCTTCAAAGTAATAGATAATTCTTCTCCTTCGACGGTTGCAAACTCCGGCAGAAAGTTCTCGTTGTTCGTCCACTTCTGGACTCCAGTCCTGTTCCAGAACCTGAGTTGCATGTACATCTGTTTCACAGGTCTGACTCATTTGCATGCAGACTGTTGATGTAATTCAAGACAGATGTACTCTGACTTCGAAGGAAGCTCCCAATTAGTCAATTCTTACGACATGCTTTTGGGCAGGCAGTGGGTCTATTCTTGTTTTCCCTCACAATGGGGCCCCGGAACCCACAATTAATTAATACAATATCATGTACTGTAAAATAAAACCCACTCTAGGTTTCAAGCCCCCAAAAAAATTCTAAGAAAAAAAAAAAAAGTAAAATAAACAGTCTGTAAAACTATCTTACAGAAACTAATAAAGTAGGAGCTATCTAAGAAACAAGTAATGAGGTGGTATTCTAAAAACTCTGTAAAATTACCAGAATTCTGAAGAAGAAAAAATATGGAAAGCTTATATGGATTAATCATGAGCAATCAATGACATGAGTGAATTCTGTAAAAATGAAAGAGGAAATGCTTGGATGAATATGGATCAAGGCAGTCGGGCATTTGATCACAAGAGCACATTAGCACTTGATCTAAGTCAACTGTATGTGAAATTTAAAAAAAAAGAAAAGATAGCACAGACAGAAAAAAAATTACCTGAAAGGTCTGAAAACAACGAACTACTTACTGTAATCAATTAATTGATTGGTGTCCATGGTTCTTTTGTGTTTCAAAGAACAACAACTACATTGTTGCAAGACTTCCCACTGCAGGCTGTTCAAGTCTGACAGGAACAAATGTAATGGATGTATTTTATTGCAGCTTTAGTTTCTTTAGTATGTACATAAATAATTGTCAACTTTGTAGATGGCTCTAAAATGCATTACACAATATGCAGGGAGGTATGGAGGAAAAGGTGAGGGAAATGGAAAGACAAAGGGAGATTTATAAGAGAGGAAGAGGGAAAAAAAAGAGACAGGCAGGGAGAGTCAGAGAAATAGTGCTAGAAGCAGTAAATAGGCAGGAGACAGGATGGAGAATGGGCTATAGAGTGAGACAATGAGATACAGAGATAAGACAGAGGATAAGGTGGGAAAGACTAAAAGATAAAGATAAATATGAAGAGGCAATGAAGACAAGGAGACAGGGAAAGTAAGAGATAGACTGGAGAGTCAGAGAAAAAGTGCTAGATTAAATAGGCAGGGGGCAGAACAGGAGATACAGTGAGACAAAGTAAAAGAGCGACAGACAATAGCGGGGATAGAGAGAAACACTGACTTGTTATTCACTGCCTGCACAGACAACTTTTGCAATGTGTTATTGGGAGCCACCAAAGACAGTGGGGAATGGAGAGTTAGAAGCAACAGCAGGGAATGGAGAGTGAGAAGCAACAGCAGGGAGTGGAGAGTGAGAAGCAACAGCAGGGAATGGAGAGTGAGAAGCAAAAGCAGGGAATGGAGAGAGAAGCAACAACAGGGAATGGAGAGTTAGAAGCAACAGCAGGTAATGGAGAGTGAGAAGCAACAACAGGGAATGGAGAGTGAGAAGCAACAGCAGGTAATGGAGAGTGAGAAGCAACAACAGGGAATGGAGAGTTAGAAGCAACAGCAGGGAATGGAGAGTGAGAAGCAACAGCAGGGAATGGAGAGTGAGAAGCAACAGCAGGTAATGGAGAGTGAGAAGCAACAGCAGGGAATGGAGAGTTAGAAGACACAGCAGGGAATGGAAAGTGAGAAGCAACAGCAGGGAATGGAGAGTGAGAAGCAACAGCAGGTAATGGAGAGTGAGAAGCAACAGCAGGGAATGGAGAGTGAGAAGCAACAGCAGGTAATGGAGAGTGAGAAGCAACAACAGGGAATGGAGAGTGAGAAGCAACAACAGGGAATGGGGAGTGAGAAGCAACAGCAGGGAATGGAGAGTTAGCAACAGCAGGGAATGGAGAGTTAGAAGAC